AAAAAAAAAAAAAAACAACAAAAGCTACTTTTCGACTTTTTTACCTATCGACTTTCACCTAATTTCGCCCGCCTTCGCCAAGGCTGCGCAAGCCCTCACAGTTTACACGTCCCGAGACGGGTCGAGAAAGTAAACGGCCTTAAGCCGGCGCGTTCCCGATCGGAGCCGGACTCCTTAAAAGGAACATGCCAACTAGCCACGCTCGAAATCAGACGTATAAATCACAATTTAATTTCTTTTACAAAGCAATTGCGACGCCGATCGACCGTGAAAGTGCGATTAATCTCGCCTCGTCTTTCGTGCGCGGCGCAAGCGGACGAGAGGCATCAAATCGACTCGCGACGCGGCCCGAGATCAGATCAATTTGCCGTTCGATCCGCGAACTGGAGATGTTTCTCTCTCGTCTCTCGAGTGAAACGAACCGGAGACCGCGAAACGTCGTTTCGAAAGAAGAAGAAAGAAAAGAAGAAGGAGAAAAAAAAAAGGAAAACAGCTCGAGAGATCTCGTTTTTACGAGGATTTCGTCCCTCGAGGGAGAGAAACTGCCGGAAGAGAAAGAGAAGGTGAAATAAAAAAGAATAAAAAGCGGGTAATCAGGTCGAAACGCGCGAGTGTTAAGGAACTCGACTCACCGATGGCGTAACAGAGGATCAACAGCAGCGCAGCTACTCGAGACGCTCTCATGATGGATTTCCTTTGTGGAATACTCGCCGATGGAAGTGCACCAAAGCGTTCTCCTCTCGTCACGTCATACCAGGTCGTCTGAGTGAACGAACGTCGTGACCTTCCCTCCGTGTGTACCAGCTCTCAACGAACCGCCATTATATCCTCCCGCCGCCACCGCCGCCGCCGTCGCTGATTAACACTCTTTCTCACACCGTGCCTCCGCTAGAAACGACGCTCTTCTCGCTAATAACTTTGTCGTTCGACGGCTTCTCCACCACCTCCTTCACTTCTCGAAACACCACCACGTATCAAACACGTATACACGCTCGAGCAAAATCCACTTTGGTCGTCTTCTCTCTCTCTCGCGGCAAACAAATTTCTCCGTCGAAACCTCGCCAAGTGCTTTTTCTATTCCGCGAGCAAACGTCGTCGTGAATCGGCGAGATCGCGTCTCTCTCGGCGAACCGTGAAGTCGTCCTCCTCTTCTTTATTTCGCTTCCACCTCGATACCGCGCGCCACGCGGAAATTCCCTGTGCAATTCCGGTAATTAATAGGCAGGCCGGTTCGATAATCGCTTTTCCAAGCCAGCGCTTCACTCCGAGTTCCCTGGAAGGATCTTCCCCCCCCCTCCTCTGGCCGTTTCGCCGGTTGGAAACTTGGTTATCGCGGCGGTGGAAACTGCTGGCTCCGTTCGAGGAGCTGCCACTCGCTATCTCTCGAGTTTACTCGCCAGTTCGTTTAATTAAATCATTCCCAGCGAGGTTTCTTTCTTTCTTTCTTTTTTTTCTTTTTTTTTTTCACTCGCAGACTCGGACTCGTTGCACGTACACGCGGCACGAGGAGGATGACGTTCGACGCTTCCGGTCGATCAGACCGGAACGCTTCCGATCGAACGCTAGTCGCCCGCGAGGTTAGTCTCCACGCGACGATCCGCGACGTTAATTGAAAAACTCTCTCGTGACTCGCACTTTTCCGACCTCTGACCTTCCCACCTCCGGGAAAGTGCTGTGTCTTCCGTCACCTTCGTCTTGGTCTCTTGCTCCCAATTTTCTCTCTAATTTTCTCGCCAACCGATGTTATTGCCTAAGTTAGACAAAGTTCGAGCACCATTTGGTAAATAGATTTATATACAGGGTGTCGTGTAACTGGTGGTTGCAAAGCGGGAAACGGTGGTGGTTCTGCATGAGAAACTGTACGGAAAATATAGAATAACGTTTTTTCACGCACAGAAGCTCTGTTGCCGAGGAAAAATGGCTTTGAATGTTTATCGAGTACGCGTGCACTTGATCAAGATTCAATTCAATTATTGGGAGACATTCCTCTTGAAATTCGGAAAAATTTAATTTACCAACAAGATGGAGTACCATAGCAGTTCAGTCGTGGAGCGAGAAATTTTTTTTTTTCACGAAAACAACCAATACTAAATCGGCCGCAATTGAAGAATACTTTCGTCACCACGATCTACGGACCTGTCACTGGATTTTTACTTATGGGGTCGTGTTAAATCTATGGTGAACGTTGAACAATTAATTGAAAAAAATTATTATAGCGTTCGCAACGTTGAAACTACAAAACAACACGTTGGAAAATGTTGAATTCGTAGAAATTTAACAGAAAGTGCACGGTTGTACAACAACCTGGACATCGCTTTCAACAATTTTTAAACTAAAAATCTATGGTGTATTCTAGCGGCACAGCGAACGTTGAACAATTAAAAGAAAAAAATTATTATAGCGTTGAAACTACAAAACAACACGTTGGAAAATGTTAAATTCGTAGAAATTTAACAGGAAGTGCACGGTTGTACAACAACCTGGACATCGCTTTCAACAATTTTTAAACTAAAAATCTATGGTGTATTCTAGCGACACAGCGAACGTTGAACAATTAAAAGAAAAAAATTATTATAGCGTTGAAACTACAAAACAACACGTTGGAAAATGTTAAATTCGTAGAAATTTAACAGGAAGTGCACGGTTGTACAACAACCTGGACATCGCTTTCAACAATTTTTAAACTAAAAATCTATGGTGTATTCTAGCGGCACAGCGAACGTTGAACAATTAAAAGAAAAAAATTATTATAGCGTTGAAACTACAAAACAACACGTTGGAAAATGTTAAATTCGTAGAAATTTAACAGGAAGTGCACGGTTGTACAACAACCTGGACATCGCTTTCAACAATTTTTAAACTAAAAATCTATGGTGTATTCTAGCGACACAGCGAACGTTGAACAATTAAAAGAAAAAAATTATTATAGCGTTCGCAACGTTGAAACTACAAAACAACACGTTGGAAAATGTTAAATTCATAGAAATTCAACAAGAAGTGCATGGACATCACTTTCAACAATTTTTAAACTAAAAAGAAATTGGTGAAAAGTAGACATTCTGTGCTCTCGCGTACGAACATTGGAAACGTTTACAAATGTCAGTAGAGATAATAATGAAATCCGTTGAGTTGAATCTTGATCAAGTGCACGATAAACCTTCGAAGCCATTTGTTCTTTGTATGAAAAAATTTTATTCTACATTTTTTCATTCAGTTTTTCATGTAGAATCACCACCTTCCAGCTTGTACCACCAGTTACATGACACCCTGTATATATATAATAATAATATTTACATGTAAAATTACGAATCGGGCGTCGAATATTGCCGGTGCCATGTTCGTTTAAGAGCGGACGAGATTCGTGTCGCGACTGCGCTTTCTTTCGAACGCGTTGTCACGCTCGTTGATAAATAGAATCTGTCGACAGCTGGTAAGACAGGTCAGTCGAGCGTGATTAATTGTAGTTCGTTTGCTAGAGAGATACGTTTATTTATCATTAGCGGATAATTCACTCTTTGTTGGTAGATAATAATTTATTACTCATTACTGACGGATAATTCATTCGATCGTGGGTCGTTCGAGATGGCTGCGTCTCGTGTCCATCTCGCTGATTATCACTAATGTCACTGTCGCTCGTCAACGAGCCGCGGATTTTTATGCGCTCTGAAACTTTTTCAGAATTATAGTTCAAACAAGCTGGAATTTAGATAGACGCTTGTTTTCACGTAATGAACGCAGATATTTTAAACGTTCCTTTTATTTTATATTTTTTTCTCTTTCGCTTATCATACGTGCACTCTCGATTCTTCTGGTTATTTACTATCGTCGTATCTTCTACTAGGGAATCTTGCCTTTTAAAAACATGACTGAACAAACAGAAATTCGTTTTATTTAACAGAATGGTACATCGTAATAAACACTCTTTACAGGTTTCTGTGTATCACGTGCATTGTGCCTTCTTGGAAGCAAAATGTTTGACTATGGAATTAAATTGCGAGATATTTATTGAATACTATTACATCTATAAAAACCTTGGAGACTCTCAGGACTGAAAAATTAACCAACAGACACAAAAACTAACCGTGATTTTCGAGCCTCGACACTTTGTATTCCTAATTTCTTTTTTTTTTCTTCTTCTTTTTTCATTCCAATCCTAACTTTCTATCATTTTACGCGATTCATTCGAAGTATACTTGAAAAGTCTGCTAGTTGGTAGAAACCAAATAAATAATTTTCTTCTATGCTAATTATAGTGAAACTAAGTAGCGCTGAAACTTTGCTGAAATTTCGTGTTTGTAAGATTTTTAAATATTGAACAAGTAAATTTATTTTCTCTTTAACAATAACATAGAAATTTTTCTTTAATTTCAGCTTCAGCGACATTCTTCCAAAGTGATTTATTACTCTTTTCCGGGACGTCTCAAAAAAACAAAAATATCGAAAAGGTTGAGACTTATTTTTAAAAATAATTCAAGCAATTGAAACTTTTTGTTATAATTTTCTACGCTTTTTACTGTTAGTTTTGTTACATAGCTGCTCGTCAAGAATTCTCTAGTTCTTTTGCATCTTCGATATTACTGTCTTCACAGTGACGAATTGTAATTATCGCAGTTTAAATGATAGAATATTTCTCGTGCCTAATGCTACTTACAACAACTACTCCACAGTCTCGTAATTTGCGCAACGAGCCTAGTTACCACCTGCACCTCGAAACTGCACAATATTGGAAAACTTCGAATCGCTTCGGAACTAACAGTAAGATTCGAATATCCGTCATTACTCCCAAAGTAGTCTTACACTTAACCCCGCGACGTTCCTTCGGATTTTTATATTTTAATCTAACGCTTCAGTTCAACGAGCAAGGAAAAGGATTTAAAGACAAGATCACGAAGAAGGTTCAACAGCAAAACATAATGCAAAAAATCGCGCTCACTAATAAGAACTCTGTCATATTTGTTTAAATTTTGTTTAAACTGTAAGTTTGCTTTTTGACTTTGGAGACATCGATTGCATTTATCACAAGAATTTTTAGTAAACGTCTTCTGGATACCTTAGGGATTTCTCTCTCCTTAAATCCAAAATTCATACAAAAATCATATCCAATGTTTGTAATATAACCAACAAGATCGTTAAAGACTTTGATCTCGATCAATTGAAATCTCAGATTAAACACGATAAATGCGTCCTCTTTCGCAAACGTGGCACAATATTGTACCTTTGACATTTTCACTGTTGCATTTGTTTGCTCGTTTTCTGTTACTTTACATTATTTTGCCTGTCTTTTCTCCCATTAAATAAATGATGAAAAAAACGCGGCAGAATTGAGCGCAGACGCGTCAGCCCTGAAAAGATTCATCTCCTAGTGGCGTCAAGTCGATCATATCGAGTCGATAAATTAGTTATCTTAATTGCAATCCGATCGGAACCCGCGTGGAACCAAACAAAGACTGTAAGCGATATCGTTTTCGATGCCAGGTCACGTTTCATCCTTCCTCGCCCTTCCTCTGCTTACCCCAACACTACCATCATTCGTCATAAATAAATGGATGTTATCAAACTGCTCGCAGCTTTGCGATCCGGCAGCCTTCTCGTAAAAAAAAAGATTGTGAGTTCTCCAAAAATTGTGACAGACATATCTGTATGTCACATCTTCCTCTCAAAAAAAAAAAAAAAAAAGACGCGCTGTGAATGAGACTGTGACGTGACATAAATGAGGGCCCTGCGGAAATGTCGGTGTCACCAGTGAAGAAAGTAAAAATGAAGGGGCCCAGAGCAAAAGCGGCGAACTTTTTCCCCACCAGATCTGAACGTTTTGACAAATTTTTCAAACATTATCTTCAACATTATCTTTTCAATGTCATTTCAGAGATAGTTTTATTTCTAAATTAAGAATTAAATTATTTGTGAAATGTTATTATGTCATCAAGTGTTATTGAATTATGTTATGAAATACTTCATATAAAAATTAAATTTAATATAATATATATTATTATATGTATATATATTTATATATATATATATTATTTAATAATATATTTGCAATTGAACGAGTTATTTGTTATTTCTTGAAGAGAATTATTTACTATCTGCTAGAATCTTTATTTGTTATTTGACTTTTGATAGAAATTTATTACTTCGTTTCTTTCATTTGAATATTTTTATCTTATTGACAATTATTTTGAATATTACAGTAATAAGACAGATTTTCAATCGTCAAATAAATATTATTTTCTCAAATAATTCTTCGATTTATTATTTTCTCAATATTATTCGCATCCCAGCTTTCTAAATCTCTTCAATTGATCAAATCGGCGACCTATCATTAAATCCATTATTCGCCAAATAGCTGAAGAATTATTATTTCAAAAGATTTGCTCGCAAAGTCATTGTTCGAAGTGACATTCGCCCAGATCTGATTTCCACTGCATTCTTTTTCTTTCTTCCTTTGACTTAGCTAACAAGAAGCCAAAGCTAAAGAGATGGATGCAGTGGTGGGGATCGCCCGACAGAAAAAGTAGGGGCCACGTGCGCCAGTTCTCCCCAGAGGACGTGCCTCGTACTCAGACACGCGGCATTCAAGGATCTCCGAGCTCCCCCATGCGTCGGTGGTAGATCACCGATGAAGGTTTTTAGCCTTTAGCAGTTTAGAAATCTAAGGTTTAGAAATCCGGCGCTCCCCGGAGGAACGGAGATTTCCTCCGTGTTAAAAAAAGAAAAGAAATGTACGCGTTGTTGTTCTTGGCGATGAAG